GCCTTAGTTCCCTTGCTCCACCTAAGCCTGAAACAATGACAGGGTGGTGCAGCTCTGTGCTGAAGACGGCGGATTCCCTGGGTGATCAAGCCTAAGAAAGAATATGTAAATTATTGTGAAACCTTCTTTGTTTAGAATGCTCTCAGTTGAATGAGAAGGTTCCAAGGAGGAAGTTAGTTTGTTCCTCAAAGTCTTACAGTTCTTTGACCCTGACTCAAAATAGACCCGCAGAGTTCCTTGTTATCTATTGTTCCTTACTTCCTCGCAATGAGTAATGTACTTTACCTGAATTATTATGCAAAATGAGCCCAATAAAAACAGGTTTGGATGGTAAATCGGCGCGCTCCCCACTAGAAGGGGTAGCCATTCCGTCCCTACTTCTCCACAGAAACTAGTCTGTCTCTGTGCATGTTTTTTTCTAGAATTTCAATGGGCCATCTGCAGCGTTCCGTGATCACTGCTGGCCGGTGACCCGTGCATCACAGGCTGCTTCTGCAACTAGAATAATATTGATGAGATCAGTAGGTTTTTTTAAATTCTTTCATATGGATTACATGAACCAAATAGTATTCAAAGGAGAGATATAATGAACTTTCAAAAAATAAATCATTAGCCCTGGCTGGCATAGCTCAGTGGATTGAGCGTGGGCTGTGAAACAATGTGTCACAGGTTCAATTCCCAGTCAGGGCACATGCCTGGGTTGCAGGCCTCGGCCCCCAGCAACCTCACATTGATGTCTCTCTTTCTCTTTCACCCTTTCTTCCCTCTCTAAAAATAAATAAATAAAATCTTATAAATAAATAAATAAATAAATCATTATAACAGGCAAAATCTTCTAGACAGCAGAAAAACGAGGAATAATATCTTTTTCTTTCACTAATAATAGAATGACCTTGATATCATTTTATATTAAATTTTTTTGAATATACAAAATTTAAGATTTATTCATAATGAAAAAATAATATAAAAGACTGGGGAACCCTGACTGGCGTAGCTCAGTGGATTGAGCATGGGCTGCGAACCAGAGTGTCGCAGGTTCCATTCCCGGTCAGGGCACATGCCTGGGTTGCAGGCCACGGCCCCCAGCAACCGCACATTGATGTTTTTCTCTCTCCCTCTTTCTCCCTCCCTTCCCTCTCTAAATATAAATAACTAAAATCTTAAAAAAAAAAGACTGGGGGAAATGCTTGTATGAAGTTTGATGAAAGGTCACTATTGGTAACACCTGAAGATTTCTCTCAAACCTAATGAGGAAAAAGTATCAAGATTTAGTACATACGTTGACAGAGAATTTAAGTAGACGAGTAATAAATAGCATTAGTGTTACTGGTAGAAGGTCAGTTGGAGCCAATTGAGTTTCCCCCGTCAGCCAAGATGGTGACAGGGGGAAGTTCTCGGGTCCCAGATTATGGGTGAGAACTGGGAGAAACAGGCACATGTGCCATAGTTGTCAAAACAGTGGCGGGGGAGGTGATGGACCAAAGAGGTTTGTCAGTCTCCCGTGAAGAGATAAAGGACTGAAGGTGAGGTGGACCCACCAGCAGCATGCAAAAGTTTGGGAAGTTTATTGGTCATTTTGAAAAAGCATGTGGCCTGTCATACATACAAGCTAATATAATCCCAGGGGAACAAAGAAACACCCTCTTCCCTTCCTCATGACTTGGATTCACGTGGTGCAGGCTGCTCTCTCTATGTGGCCCATGGCTTCTGGGAAGGAATCTCTCTCCCTCTCTGTGGCTGACCTTGTGCTGCCTTCACCTGTGCATGCACATACTCTTTCCTGGGAGCACACAACCTGGCAGTCCTAGCAGTTGCATGGCGCATGTGCGCACTGGCTCCACACCCAGGTCCCAAGAAGCTGGAAATGAATAGCAACGGGGAACAAGATATGCTACATGGATGGGGCCTGTGACTGCTGAGTAAGTAGTGCTTGTGGATTTCAAAGGGTTCTACTTTATACTGCTGCCGGAACTCTACTGCCTTTTTCTTGGATTTGCATAGGAGATGAACTATGAGCCTGGGAGTCCACCATTTTCCCAGATCGCATAGCACCTGAATAAAACCTCTTTCCTTTTTCACTAGCATCTGCCTCACAAGTTTGGATTTTATGGTGGCAGGCAGCCAAACTTTTTGTTTGGTAACATTAGTACAAAAGTATGGAATCAAAGATACATTTTGAGTTAACCTTGATTTACACCTTCTATTATCTTGAAAAAAACTCCATATGTATAACTTTAAAAATTATGTATTTTGGGTTTGATTTCCAAAATATATAAAGAACTCACATGACTCCACTCCAGGAAGACAAACAATCCAATTAAAAATAGGCAAAGAACCTGAACAGACACTTTTCTAAACAGGACATACAGAGGTCCCAGACACATATGAAAGGATGCTCAGCATCACAAGCCATCAGAAAGATGCAAATTAAAACCACTATGAGATACTACTTCACACCAGTCAGAATGACCATCATAAATCAACAAACAGTAAGTGGTGGCACGGTTGTGGAGAAATAGGAACCCTAGTATATTCTTGGTAGGAATGTAGGCAGGAGTGGCCACTGTGGAAAACTATGGAATTTCCTCAAAAAATTAAAAATGGAACTGCCTTTTGACCTGGCAATTCCCCTGCTGGGATTATATCCTAAGAATTCTGAATCATCAGTCCAAAAGAACCTAGGTACCTCAATGTTCATAACAGCACAATTTACAACAGTCAAGTGCTGGAAGCAACCTAAGTGCCCATCAGTAAATGAATGGATCAGAAAACTAGGTACATTTACACAATGGAATACTATACAGCAAAGATAAAGAAGGAGCTCCTACCCTTCACAAACAGCATGGATGGAACTGGAGAGCATTGTGCTAAGTGAAATAACCCAGGTGGTGAAAGGCAAATGCCATATGATCTCACCCATAAGTGGAATCTAATTAACAAAACAAACAAGTGAGCAAAATATAACCAGAGACATTGAAATTAAGAACAAAGTGACAGTAACCAGAGGGGAGGGGTATAATGGGGGAAAGAAGGGGAAGGGCCATCAAGAAACACATATAAAGGACACATGGAAAAACCCAAAAGAGGGTAAGATGGAGGGTTGGAGGTTGTCGGGTGGGGAGGGGTTAAGAGGTGGTGGGAAAATGGAGACAAATGTACTTGAACAAAATAAAAAAATAAAAATAAATAAAAGTTTATTTCATTTTCTTCTGTTTTTTTTCAAACAGTACCACAGCCATTTTATAATATTTTTTATATTTTATTCAGAAAGAGATTATGTAATTTTACCACTTATTTCTCAAAACCCTGGGATGATTTTCATCACTGAATTAATCATTTTAAAGTCATAAGGTGATGTTAGGACTTAACATTTATTTCATCAATTTCAAAATGTTCTGTATGGTGAAGCTGCAGAAGGAAGTATTGTGATTTGCATTATTTTTTTAAAGGTTTTATTTATCTATTCTTAGAGAGTGGGGAAGGGAAAGAGAAAGAGAGGGAGAGAAGTATCAATGTGTGGTTGCCTCTCCCATGTCCCCTATTGGGATCCTGGCCCGCAACCCAGGCATGTGCCCTGACTGGGAATCAAACCAGTGACCCTTTGGTTCACAGCCCATGCCCAATCCACTAAGCCACAGCAGCCAGGGCTGTGCTTTTTTTTTTTAAAGAGGAAAATAAGATTAGATTAATGTTTGTCACATTTTTTATTAGGGATCAAAGTTGATTGAACATCTTTTGTTTCAGTTCTAAATTGGGAATTCAACACATGCCTAAACTTTTTATAAAAAACAGGACATTCCTTTCCTGATCAGGTGGTGGTCTCTCTTGTGTGTTTATGTTTCTAACAATTGTTCAAGCAATGACGAATTCTTGAAATTTGAACTGAAAAAAATTTTCTAAAAATATTACAGAGCAATATAATTCTCCTTTTTCTTCAGTGTTTGAATAGAATACCTGAAGCAAGGAATGTTTATTATTTCTGAAATGTGCTGTTTCTTATTCATTATAGATAATAAAATAAATTTATTAAAACCATACATTATTTATTATATTTTATAATATATATTATATTATTTGTAATTATGTTGAGATGTAATTGATATATAATATTATATTAGTTTTAGGTTTACAAAATAAGAAATCTATACTTGTATATATTAAGAAATGATCACCACAATAATTCTAATTAATACCAGCTTCAAGGATTTTGAGAGAGGTGTATTCTGAGTCCATCATATTGAGTTTAAAACAATTAAAAGGGAGAGGTGCAATTTAAAATAAATCTTACTTGTATAAATAAATACTATGTACAAAGAAATTCTGATTTCTTTCTCATTGGTGAGCAGATAATCACTATGCATCTGTAGTGACATTATATCATTGAGGATTTGCTGAACATTAGCGATACTTTGGTGACATGTGAAATTGCAAAAAAGACATGCCATTTCTCTCTGAAAACATACTTTGTTATAAAGACAATAAAAGCAACAAAATTAATTTATGTAGGAAAAGTATGCCGTGACTGCAAAAATATACATATGAGCCTTGTGTATAAATATTTTCTGACCTCTTCAACCCCTTTTTACTCTTTTTGGAGAAAGAAAGCTGTGATGTTTTGAAAACAGCCTGAATTCAAGTCATTTGAGAAAAACCACCAACACCTCAAAATGACCATGACCAGAGGGAGCAGGGGAGGGAGCAATGGGGGAAAGGAGAGGGAGGAGCAAGCCAGGGAACACAGAGGACTCAGGGGCACGGGGACGGGCAGTGGTGAGGGTTGGCTGTGGCCAGGGGTGAGGGACAGGGGAAAGCAAAGGAGAAAATGTCAGGACAGCTGTAACTGAACAACAACAACAAAAACAACTAAAAAAAAAAGGAAAAGAAATTACATTTCTTAAGTGAGAATACCACCAAGGCCTAATCAACCAACCTTCTAAGCAAATAAGATAGGGGTTAACTTACATGGCTAAGCATGTGTTAAGTCCTTCCTGCGTACCTACCACAAGGGGAGAAGATGCGGAGACCACACTGCAACTTGTGGTGAGAAACAGTCTTCTTGGCAGGATGCTCACTTCGAGTTGTGACATGAAAACTGAACATATACCGGAGAGTTGTCTGGAAATAAAAGCACAAGATGTGTTGTTATGACAACATCAAACTGTCATAGCCCAGACTTTTCTGTAAATGTGTTTGAATTAATAAAAAAAAACATGTCAAAAGACAAATTCGAAAAGTCATATGGGCAATGAAGTAAATCAAAGGCTCTGAAAGAAAGAGACCTGAGTCTGGATATGCATGGGCAGACTGAAGCTGAAGTGACATAGTGAGCAATATAACAGTAAAAAAATCTGCACACATACTATAAGAAATATGTGTTTAGGACGTATTTAGTCAGAACCTAAAATATTGATTCAGAACATCCAGCTAAGGATGATGGACTGGATGAGGCACGTACAGTGCCAACTACAGCAGTGTAACAGGGTGAACATGTGGCCGAGATCCCGTTAATCTTGACTGTGTACCTTGTTGGGACAGGAGGAAGAGCAGGCCACCATCTTGGCTGCTAGCTAATATTGCCTGGCACAGTTTCATGAGCTAGTAATGGAGAAATAATTTCTTGGCCCCATCTCAGATGATCTTTTGATAATTCTAAAAATAAGCAATTCCACTCAGGAGTAATTTCTCTCACAAAGAAGTGTTTTCATTATGTTAACATAGACCATGCTGGAAGTCTATAAATACCCATCTATCATATAATGGAACAGAAAAGTTTTTCCCCTATGGTGTTTTCTTAAAACTGGTAAAGAATCAGTCATATAAGCAGCAAATCTTTTCAAAAATGCTTTGAAGTAAATCATGCGCATGAATTACTAATCAGATGACTTCAAATTTCCACTAGCCTCATGGTTATTTTTCTTTGATTTTTTAATTTGTTGTACTTAACCTTCTCTTTCCTACCATAAGGGTAATATACACATTCATGAAAGGAAATTACCATTTATAATTTCTACATCTTGCATGCAAATGGATTTTGTGTTTACTTTGGTACTTTAAATATCAAAGAATCATAGAATGTTGTAGATGCCACAGAATTTGAACACTGCTTGTCCTGAGTGGCTATGGAGATAGATCCAGGTATCGGATAGCACTTTCCCAAAGGAAAAAAGTTCATTAGTTGCTGATCTGGGTAGAACTCAGATCTCCCATCACAGCTTCCTTTAAAAAAATCACCTAATAGAAGTTGGTATAGAAGTCATAATTCTAATGACTTATTATTTCTTACTTTATCACTATTACATTCATTTGTATACACAGGAATAAAAATGAGTGCTCTTTAAACTCTGCAATTCTTAAATTACTCTCCTGGAGAGCAACAGAATAATCACTAAAAGTTTACAATGTTTCTTCTGTGGTTTTATCCAATCTCCTGGATCCTTTCTATACTGTGTTACATTTTTCTATTTTTGTATACAGACACAACAACACCAAAGCACAACAAAATATGTGAATAAATAAATAGAAAATTATTGATATTTTTATGAAGACTATTTCCTATCTACTCTTTGAGTTAGTAGCTATTTAGAACATCTGTGTGGCAAACATCTTTTTTTGCAATGGACATACATAGTTGGATAAAGGATAAAGCATGGTCTCTGTCATCTAATTGTTCATAATCTATTGAAGGTATAGATATAAGCACATAATTTTAAATAAATATGTCATTTGCAGTGGTAGACAAAATTACTGGCTATCATGGAAGATAAGATCATAGATGACAATTTCACAATGGATTGCCAATGTCAACTATAAGAAAATGGGGCTGGGGAAGGTATTTCAAGGTGATTGGGGTTAAAACAGAATAAGAACTGAAGGTAGAAATGTCAAAGACATAGAAGAAAGAGATAAGAATGTGAATAAAGGCAGTTCTATGCAGTCTACTAGGGTTGGTTTGTTAAGTGGGGTTATGAGGATGGAGCCTAGAACAGTCTAGAATGACAAGAAATTGGTGTGAGTGAGAAGAAAGATTAACAAACTAAGCTATGTTGCTTGAATAGTACATGTTGTCAGGAGAAACCCTTTGAGAAGTTTTAAGCAAAGGTTGACTAGGTCATATTTCTGCGTTTTGGGCAGTCATTTTGACTTGCTCAAAGGACAACAGATTTATCTGATGATGGGTTAATATCCAAACTTTATGAAGATCGTACAAAACTCAACACCAAAAACCAAACAACCCAATTAAAAAATGGGCAAAGGACCCGAATAGACACTTCTCCAATGAGGGCATACATATGGCTAATAAACATATAACAAGATGCTCAATGTCACTAACCCTCTGAGAAATACAAATAAAGACCACAATGACATATCACCTCACACCTGTCAGATTGACTGTTTTCAATAAATCAACAACAAACAAGTGCTGGTGAGGATGTGGAGAAAGGGGAACTCCTTTGTACTGTTGGTGGGCATGCAGACTGGCACAGCCACTCTGGAAAGCAGTGTGGAGATACCTCAAAAAATTAAAAATGGATCTGCCTTTTGACCTAGCAATTCCACTTCTGGGTATGTCTGGGGGAACCCAAAACATTCATTTAAAGGAACATAAGCACCCTTATGTTCATTGCAGCATTATTCACAATCGCTAAAATGTGGAAGCAGCCCAAATGTCCATTAGCAGGAGTGATAACATAACTATGGGACATTTACACAATAGAATACTATTCGGCCACAAAAAGAAGAAAGTTTTACATTTTGTGATAGTGTTGATGGACGTGGAGAACATTATGCAAAGTGAAATAAATCAGTCAGACAAGGACAAATGCCATATGATTTCACTCATATGTGGATTCTAGGGAATAAAAAAGAACTAATAAGCAATATAGAGATAGACTCATAGCAGGATGACATCTAATGGGGGGATGAAGATGGAGGAGGATAGAGTGGACAAGAAGGAAAAAGGACTCATGGATGTGGACAACAGTGTGGTGATTGCAAAGGGGATAAGGGCATAAGGAGACAAAATGGTAATGGGAAAAATACAATAAAAACTACAGGAAATTACAAGGCTTGCAATCTAAGAGTTTCTGTAGTCTAAAAAGAAAATATGTCCAGAGCTGTTTCCTTGTAAGCTTCAATCTGCTTCTCATTGGGTAAAACCTGTAGAAAGTTGTTTATATACTCTCATTGCTTCACGTGAAACCAGTGTGGGTTTTGCAAAATTTTCAGCAGGGGTTGTAATCCCTAATTACTAACTCTTCTCATTGCATACTGAAGAAATGTGACTTTAGATGTAATAAAGCTTGCAACTTAAAAATAATTTTAAGAAGACACTTCTCCAAGGAGGACATACAGAGGGCCCAGAGACATATGAAAAGATGCTCAGCATCACTAGCCATTAGAGAGATGCAAATTAAAACCACTGTGAGACACCACTTCACACTGGTCAGAATGGCCCTCATAAACAAATCAACAAACAACAAGTGTTGGAGAGGTTGTGGAGAAAAGGAAACCCTAGTGCACTGTTGGTGCGAATGCAGACTGGTGAAGCCACTGTGGAAAACAGTACTGGATTTCCTCAGAAGACCTAAAATGGAACTGTCTTTTGACCCAGCAATTCCCCTGCTGGGATTATATCCTAAGAACCCTGAAACACCAGTTCATAAGAACCTATACACCCCAATATTCATAAGGCACAGTTTATAGTAGCCATGTACTGGAAGCAACCTAAGTGCCCATCAGTGAATGAATGAATCAAAAAACTCTGGTACATTTACACAATGGAATACTACATAGCAGAAATAAAGGAGGAGCTCCTACCCTTTGCGACAGCATGGATGCAACTGGAGAGCATTATGCTAAGTGAAATGAGCCAGATGGTGAAAGACAAATACCATATAATCTCACCTTTAAGTGGAACCTAATCAACAAATTAAACAAGCAAGCAAAATATAACCAGAGATGTTGAAATTAAGAATAATCTGACAGTAACCAGAGAGGAGATGGGAGTGGATGATGGGGGAAAAGGGGAAATGGGTTTCAGGAACAACTATAAAGGACACATGGACAAAACCAACGGGCATTGGAATTAGGGGGGGGAGATGGGGATGGCTGGGGTTGGGAAAGTGATGGGGGGGAATGCAGACAACTGTACTTGAACAACAATAAAATAAAAAAATTAAATTAAAAAAAGAAAAAATATATGACTAGCACCAATGAAGACTCTCTCCTGCTACTTGCTAATTGATACTGACTCTTCTCCAAGACACTACTATTCTATTTCTAAAGGCATTTGTTTAGCCTGTTCTGCAAGTCAGTATCAGAAGCTTAGTATATATGTATATATATTTGTGGCTTCTTTCATTGGGCATTATGGATTTGAGACTTTTGTCATTTGTATTTTATTTGTGTGTGTATAAAAGCATATTATTTTTTTTACTGTTATGTAGAATTCATAAAAGATAGGCCACAATTTGCCTTTCAATTCTAATGTTGTTCCACATTTGTTTTCTTTTCTACTTTTTGACTATTACAAATAAAATTAATATCGACATCTTTCTATATCTCATTGTTGGAAATATGCCCTCAATTCTCATGAACACATGTCTAGGAGGTAAATGTCTAAGTTATATGCTGGCATATAATTAGTTCTATTAGATAATGCTTGAAAATATTATAAAAATATATTTATAAAATTTATTTATGATCTTACCATAGTTATGCAAGTGTCCTCCATATCCTTGCCGACACATAGTGTTATCAATTGTTTCAGTCTAAAGACCTTCTGGGTAGAAGACAGAAGCCCACCCTTTGGGTAGATTTTTGAAAATTTGGGCATTGGACTCTCGGTCTATGCCTGTCCTCCCAGTAGAATGCTGGGACCCGGGAGTTTCTTCCTGATTCTGTGGTGCTATGCAGGGGTAGAGATCGTGGTTAATGTGTGTCTCAACTTTGCCACCTCGCTTTGAAGTGGAAGTTTTATGTTCACCCAGGGTGCAGGAGCCTCTGAACTAGTTTCTGAATTTCTCACAAAGCAAATTTGACCATGAATTACTGTTGAATAGGTGTGTTTTCTCTTGAAAGAAGGTCAAGAGCTTCCTAATCTATCATCTTGCTGACATCATTTTGCTAACTTATTTTTCTTTGAAGTATAAATACACATATTTATAATTTACGTATTTACGTAAATGTGTTTGTGTGTGTGTATATATATAATTTCATCCTTAAGTGATATAAAATAAAGATATTTAATCACTCTGTATCTAGTTTATATCTAAATTGAATTTGGATAGTAATCAAACACATTTTAACTGGGCAAAAATATCACCATGTGTAAACAGAAGTAATTGTGGCTGGTTTCCCTCTCATTACTGATGGAGCAACTGCCATTTTAAACAATGTTATAAAACATGTCTACATAGCACTAACTAGCACTTCTAAATGTTTCCCAATGACCTGCTTAGGATTTTGGAACCAGATTCTTTAGGATGCTTCTGGCTACTATAAAACTTAAATTATAAAATCCAGTGTGATCCCCTTTGTATGTTTTTACTTGGTGCAGAATTAAAACTGTTAGGCTTGCATTTTTTTCAGCCACTATGGTCTACAGGGTTTTTGTTAAAACACTATATAAATAACACAGAAGAGCTGCAGTGAGGAAAAGCATCCATGGCAAACCCAGCCACCACAAGTTAATATTTTAGAATGCTTATTCACTGAGAACTTATGAGTCTTCCATACAAGATTTTTCTGGTTAAGAGAAGCAAATAGATTTTTGAGTAAGGATCTTAAAAAGGAGTACTTTAATAAATGTACTAGCTGAACTTCCAGTTTTATATCCTAAACATTCCCTTCATCTTACAAAAAATCCATAAAATCAATAAAAAAGCAAAGAAAACCACACATGCCTCATGCTCTTTGGCCTCTCCACAGACAAAGAATACCACAACCTTCAAATTATCTGTAAGTGGAGAAAAAATCGACAGAGCTCTCGCTCCAGCCTGCTATTGGATGCCTATATGCTACAGGGTAGGGGAATCAGTCCTTAAAATATTCCATTAAAAGTAGAAGAAGAGAGTATGTAGATAAAGCACAGACATAATCAACCCAGGAAGATAACACTGCAACAATAAATTCCAAAATACTTAATATAGTATGGCATTTGGTAGTGCATAATTGAGGAAGGGTAATGTAATGTAATATATTGAAATGTATACATTGAATTACAATTGAAATGTAATATAAGAAATGAGAACCTTGAAAATAATTTTTTTCCTGTAGGAAAAGCATATAAGAAAGAAGGGGTTGTGTGTCTGAGACATGTGCATGTGAAAGCCAAGAAATAGTTGGGAGGTTTTAAGGATCCCAAAGTAATAAAAGAGAAAAGCGGTATGCCTTTCCCCTCTCAGCCCCACCCATAAAGGGAACTTCACAGATGATGGCAGAACTGACAAAAAGGGAAGCTTTCTGACTAGGAATAGTGATCATTAAATAATAAGAATAAAAAACAAGGCTACACTTATATAAAGCCTTTTCAAGTGTTCCATAGTGTGACAGAAGATTTTCTACCTGGGAAAAAGTCATCTACCTAAAAGAGGAAACAACCACAAAGCTGAAGAAAGCTTGGTATAATACTGCAAATTAAATCACATGTCTTTATCAGGTCATAAAAAGAACAGAGAAGCAAAAATTTTTGTAAATGTTGAAAAAATTAATTAAAAAATTAAAATGAAAAAATAAAACAAATTATAAAGGCAGGAATTGATCAAACCCAGGAAAGTGAATAGAATGCTAGAAGTAAAGTGATAAACAAAGATTTACATCGCAAATGGAAACAACAGGTGAGCAGGGGCTGCAATCCTGATACTAGGCAAACAAGTGCACCTACAGAGAATTAAACACAGGCAAGAAAGACATTATGTCAAAGTCCAATTACTACTATGAAGACTAAATAGGAATCAATCAAGTAAATAACAATGGCTATTTATATAAAATAAAAATGAATGAAGATGCAAGGGGAAACATATAGTAAAACATTAATAAAAGGTGATTTTAGCAGGCCTCTCTCAATACAAGACAGAGAATAGAATAAAAAGAGGTTATGTTATAGATAACCTAAATAAAACAGCCAGCATGCTAGATGCTTTGGATATGAATTGACCAGTACATTGATCATAAAAATATACCTTCTTTTTAAATGCATGTAAAGTATCTACAAACATTACTCAATGTATATATAGATATTTATATATTTAAATATTTACATATAATGTATATATACATATTCATATAAAACTAAAAAAATGAGAAAATATATGAATACACTTTATATGTGTGTATTTATTTATTTATTTTTATTGCTATAGACACTTTTAATTGACTAAAGTACATATATAAGGTCAGTACCTAAATGACCAGCTATTGTTAATATAAGGAGGATGGTTTGTGCGACATTGATGTAATCAGGCAGTGAAGAGGAATGGACTGGATGCACATGTGTGAACAACGATGACTTCACTGTACTAGTCAGTGGGTGTGGTAGATGCCAGGGAGTGAGCATGTGCACTGTGTGGTCATCACATTCATAATGACCGGGCAAGTACAGCAACAAATTTGCATCAAATTTTGCCCTAAGTTTGAACATTCTTTCATACAAACTATTTGGATGATTCAGAAGCCTGCAGCTATGGGCAACTGGTGATTGGCAGCTTTGTCACAACAACACACGTGCTCATGCATCACGTCTTATGCAGAGGTTTTTGGCCAAACATTAAATCACCCAGGTGACTCAGCCCCTTATACTCTAGATTTTGTGTCCCATGATCTGGCTTTTCTTAAAATTAAAATCACCTTTGAAAGGGAAGAGATTTCAGACCACCGATGAGATTCAGGAAAATATAACAGGGCAGCTGATGGTGACCAGGAGAACTGTGTGAGGTCCCAAAGTGCCTATTTTGAAGGGGACTGAGGCATCATTGTCCTGTGTACAATGTTTCTTATATACTTTTCAGTAAATATCTCTATTTTTTTATATTGCATGGCTGGATACTTTCTGAGCAGACTTCTTATACGGTTATGCGCGTGTGTGTGTGTTCTAAAACCAGTGTTCTACTTTGTAGGAAAACTTTCGAGGTATTCCATTAGAGTCAGAAAAATGGCATTGATGATGATTATCTACACTCCTCATTAACCTTGTTTGCTTGTGTTAGCTAATGTAAGTGGGTTAGAAAAGAAAAAACAATAAATAAAAAGATAAAAATAGAATTAAAAGAAAAACTCAGTATTTCCACATGATGTGATAATATATCTAAATAACACGAGGAAATCAGTGACAAACCCAACTCAAATAATAAAAGATTCAGGAAATTAGCAGTTTGTGAAAGTAATATATGAAAATATATGGCATTTATTTACACAAATGAAAGCAATTAGAAGAAAATGGATGAAAAACCTTATTTATGTAATGATAAATAAGATTAAAGTATTTAGGAATAAACACAAAAATAATTCTACCAATACAGAAGGTTCATTCCTGGCTTAAGAAATATGCAAATGCTATTTTCTTTGCCTACTAAGCTTTTCCTACTTGCTTCCCCCATCTAGTTAACTCATTCAACCTTACAAGCTCACCTTAAAGGTAAGACAGATATATTTAATTCCATTAAAAATTTAAATGACGAATGGTGTATAAATCAAAGGAAAAATAATAGATTGTGAAAAATATATCCACATTTATTAGCAAAATTTTTATGCATTGTTGTAGCCAAACAGTTGATAAGAATACAAATCCTCTGATTAGAAAACTAAGAAAAAGCATGAGCAGGCAACTTTTAGTTTTCTTGTAGCATTTCTCTGTTCACAAGTGTATGCTTGACCCTTTTCTTCAGTGCAACCAACTATCTCTGTGTGTAGGAGCTTGAATTCTGCGCAGTTTTCTCAATTTTAAGAGAAATTCACTTATTATAATTGGATAATAATTTTCAAAAAAATTTCAATTTTCAAGGGGTCAAAAGAAAAAAATTGCCAAATTCTAAATATGAAACACTAAAATTCTAAATAATGGAATGACTTCATATAATTGAGGAAATGTAATTATTTTTGAGAAAAAAGTTACATATGAATGTGACTAATGACTTGTGTGTTTGTTAAATTTTTTTTATGTGTCTTTGTTTCACAGAGAATGACGTTTTAAACAGTTGACATTATGGCAGAAGAGTCAGGAAGTTGAGTTGTACTGAAACAAAATTCCCATAAAGATAAATAACATCACTATTCTTGAAATGAAAGAGGCCAAAATGTCATCACCACATTACTTTTGAAGCTGTAGCTACTAGAACATTAATTAATGATAGAATATGATATTTAAATATACATTGCACAGAACTAGAAAGGAGGTTTTGGTGGAAATGGATTACTTTCCTATAGAAAATATCTGTATTTTGTTAAGTCTTAAAATCCACGAATCAGGTGGACCATATTGATCATGATTGCTGATATACCTGGTACCGAAACAGAACTAAAGGTCAGACTAATGAAAGGCCCCAGATCTGGTTATGCGTTTATATGTGAGAGCTCCCTGTGTGGCTGCATCACGGAGCACTTGTGTTTAGAGTCTGTGCTTACTTCTTCATTTCACAAACTGGACAAAGACATTAGCTTCTGTGTATATTGCCTTCTCTTTATATTCTGTGTTGGATTATATAGCTAGGATCCTCAAGAATTGTTATATTCAGACTTTTGTCCAAAGCATTATAATCTCCTTCTTCCCAGGAAACACACATTCTGGAAAGATTCTGGAATCTTCCTCTAAAAAGCAGGTATTTTCAAGATATTAATTTATTTTACTTAATGGTCATTAACTTCCAGTGCTCACTTAGCTGCTTTCAAGAATTAAGTCGAGATAGGAGTAGCAAAAAGGGCAAAAGTGGAGCTGCTCGCATGAGGTCTGGGAGAGGCTGGGAAAGTGCTCTGGCAGAACTGCCTAAGATTAGACAGGCCCAGTGTACAAGACACATTAAGAAGAACCAGGTGACATCAGCCCAGGAAACACACAGCTAGCGATTGAGTAGATGGATCCAACCCAGAGAACCTAAAGCCTCGAGACAGTGTCCGTGTCAAGCAATTGGGGGTCATGAGCAAGGGGTAATAAAACCGACTGCAGACCAGAAACTGAGGCAAGAGCTTGGTCAGGAGCAAGCCTGGGAGCTATGTATGCATTGATCCAAGTGACTATAAAATGCAGGAGCACAGCGCTAAAGCAGTCAGCAAGAAGACAATTTGTCCATTGGCAGGGGAGCCTCGAGGGATAAAAAGCTCCATTAATTTATCTAGAAGAGCTTTAAAAATTTATCTAGAGAGCTTGGATTTAGAGAGCAGCCTTCTATTCAATTGTCCAAATAATTTCCAGGGAAAAATATTCAAGTTTTACATTAAACTTGTTGTCGGTTCATTGCTGTACTCTCAGTCATTTTGAACCCAATGGCCACACAGTACACATGCTCAGTCAGTGGTGTCTACTGTCCCCCCTGACTAGTGCAATGTAGTCATCTATTGTTCATGGATGTGCACTTCAGTCCACTGTCTTTTGCTGCCAGTTTACATAGATGTAGCACCTACCATTCTTGTTACATTAACAATGTTTGGACTTTTTCTGGACAGTTTCATTACTCATTCATCTGTTGATAAACACTTGTTTCCATATCTCAGCTATTGCAAATAAATGTTACAGTGAAAATGGCAGTGCAGATATATTTTTGAGTTAGTGTTTTTGTTTTCTTCTGATAAATATACAGAAGTGGAATTGCTAGATGATCTAGTATTGGGTTGGCCAAAACATCCATTTTGTTTTTTCTATAAAATAAGACACATTTTTCATTTTCTTCAATCACTTTATTGATTTGGATATTTTGAGTATGTAATGATTTAGAAAACATTATTCTTATATTAACATAAACTATATTTGTATTTTTCTTATTACATATAAACAAATGAATCTTCTTAAATATATCAGAATTATTATTATTATTTTTTAGACAACTTTTAAAAAGATTTTATTTATTTATTTTTAGAGAGGGAATGGAGGGAGAAAGAGAGAGAGAGAGAGAAACATCAATGTGTGGTTGCTGGGGGTCATGGCCTGCAACCCAGGCATGTACCCTGACTAGGAATTGAACCTGCAACACTTTGGCAGAATTATTTTTAGTATGACAGATTTTGATAAATATACTCAAATAACAAAATTTCTTTGAGTCTCTCAATAATTTTTAAGTGTTAAAAGGAGTGGGTACACAAATTATTAAAAATTCTCTGATAATAAGTATAGCACTGATTTTCATTTTTAAAATGCTAATATATAGAGGGTATTCAGTTCAACCTAGTTATTTTAAGATAAATTAAAAAAGTTCCATTTTGTCAAGCACACATAGATAATAATCAAGACTAAATGCACTTTTAGCATGCTTCTTTAATTTAGCTTTGAATAAAACAAATGCTCTCATACCAAAATTTAGAAGCTTTTTCTTCATTAAACAAGCCCCTGTCATAAGTTTTTTTTCATTAAATTCCAGATTCCTGAAAACTCTGAGTGAGGCATTTTCTGTCAGCTTTATGGTTGACTAAGTGGAGCAGTGTTATGGAGTTCTTCTATTTTGCTTCTTTAACAGTTGATAGAACAAATATTTTTATTTATATACTAATAAATCTGCTAAAGAAATGTATGTTTCTCTATATTTTAATAATGCATAGTGACTTTTTATAATAGAATTGATATGAAATAAATTTAATTTCAAATGGAAATTGTTTTTTCTTCTGGGATCCAATAAAAAAAGCTGACACTGCCTCTAATCATTGCAAACGTACGAGATGGTCAGTTTTTTATGGTAATTGAAAAGAATGTGGTTATTGTATATGTAAGAAGACAGTAAATGGAGATGGAATAATTCATATGTGGGATATAAAACTGAAAACAACACATGAAAAGACAAGAACAAATAAAACTCATAGATATACACAATGGATAAATTCCTGTAAACATATAATCTCCCCCCAAATCAAGGAGAAACAGTTCATCTGAACAGACTGATGACAACTAATGAAACTGGAGTGGTAACCAAGAAAACGTCTAATGATTCACTTTTTAAGTCCACAAAATACTTCAAAGCTTTAAATAAAGTTGAGTCACTATATGTGGCTTTACATGGAACACAAGTTCTTGGTATTTCTCTGGAGTCTTTTCTCTGTGTCATTATAATAACATATGACCTACAGGGGGCAGAGAATACATGTGAACTGGAGAGAATGAGCTTCTTCACAAATATGGAAAATGAGGGCTTGGAAACGGTTGTAAAGATCAAGAGAACTTAAGCACTGTTCATGACTCTGAAGCGGTCATGGGAGACTCCCCCAGCTGCTGCATGTATGCAAGTATTATTCCAATTGCCAAGGATGCTGTTATCCTAATGATTTGCCCAAATTTCTACTCATTCTACAGACTTTAACTCAGATTCCATTTCTTCCCCAGAAGTCTTGTAAGGCCTCCCTAAACTCAATTCGTATTTCCTTTTTTTTTGTAGCAGTTAGTACCATGTTCTTGTTATAAGAAATAACTCAATTTCTGCAAAATTTCTCATGTACTGTAGAAAATTACTAGTGGCATTTTGAAAAGCTGAGAGTGTTTTTGTTGATTTCTCAACTTTAGAGAAATTTCAAAAATAGCAAATGTAATGAATCCTCATATACTTTTTACCCACCTTTAAGCATATTTAATTTTCAAATGGATTGTGTTTTCAAAAGTTTTAAGACCCTCCTGGCTGGCGTAGCTCAGTGGATTGAGCGCGGGCTGTGGACCAAAGTGTCACAGGTTCGATTCCCAGTCAGGGCACATGCCTGGGGTGCAGGCTATGACCCCCAGCAACCACACATTGATGTTTCTCTCTCTCTCTCTCTCTCTCTCTCTCTCTCTCTCTCATATATATATATATATATATATATATATATATATATATATATATATCTCCCTCCCTTCCCTCTCTAAAAATACATAAATAAAATCTTAAAAAAAAGAAAAGTTTTAAGACCCTTATTAGTTTAATATTTGTGAATAATAACATTATAGTTCAAAATTTAGTTCAACAGTATTATTGACAATTTATTAAATTAAAGAATGAATTTGTTCATCACTCAATAACTTAAAAATTATACAAAACATATTATAGAAGATAAAGTCTTTGTGAGGCTTTGTTTGCAGCTGATTATGGTTTGTGGCATGTCAGATAAAAAATACATCAATATTGGTGGAATTTTCTTCTGGCTGTTTTCTTCATGGTAAACACTCAGAGAATGATGTTTTTGTTTTTCAATCCTTTATATTTTATAAACAATAAAGTATTCACACAATCCTCTGCATGCAGATGTATGTGTTTGGAGTTGAACAGTTTTCTGTGTAACCTTTAAAACTGGAGCCGTAAACCACACAGGTTCCATTCTCCATTTCAACCAATGTTAGTCTAGATTAGAGAGAAGGACAAATCACATTTATGACTTCATTAATGCAGAAGGATAAAAAATGAATAATATTTATTTAAATATACATAGTGAAATAATATTATCTCAGAAGATATAAGGACTATGCTTGGCCTTTCTCAACTTCTAAATTAGCAAAATATGGCTAACTTCAATAATAAAAGTAAAAATGCATTGTATTATAAATCATGTGCATTCTAATATAAATCATAATGTATTCTGTTATAAATCATAAGAAATAATTTACATTTCTTATACATTGGAAATAAGTCAATTTAGAAAGACATATAAAGACTTTATATGCATACACAGAAAATATCTGTACATGTATAATCAAGTGAAATAAAAATTTTAGAAAGTTTTTAAAAATAATTAGGTTAAAAATAAATTCATAATTCTGTTATGTTTTGTGAAAAAATATAATATTCTTCAATTTCATGCAGTTTTACTTGGTAAGAACATTTTTTAAATTAAAAAAGTCCTCCAGTATATACACACATATATGTGTGTGTGTTTAGGCAATTCATGCAGAGTTCATTACGTGTGTATATCTATTTTACTCTATGACCTTGAGTATTTTGTATTTATATGATTAATATAATAAGCAGTGATTTGTTTTCTGTCATGAACAGGCAAGAAAGTTAAGGCTGAGAAAAGACTGATGATGCTCCTTCAATATTAATTTGACACCAAAAATGACCTGATCATCTGGGCCTATGTGTATACATGTGTGTGTGTTTGAGAACTATTCTGCATATACAGAAACAATCAGATAGTATATGAGAAAAAATCAAGAGATTTTTTAGAAACAGCTCTCATTGGCCTGTCTGCACATTAGAACTACATTCTTTCTAATATCATTGTTTTTATGCATTTCTTCAATTTCTGTGTTTGTTTTCCTACACTACTTTCATCATTTTTCTGACAAAGTACTGACTACGTGGAATTTTACTTATTTGTTCTTAACTGTATTTCCAGGTGAAGTGTGAAGATCCTGAAGGAGTTATGTTCTATCCACTCCTGTAGTTGTCTGTGCATACTTTCTGAAAACTAAGTAGCACTCAACCATTATTTATTACAAGCATGAATAGAAATTTAGCATGCTATTGATTTGCTTTCAAAAATGAACTTTTGCACATGCAGAGTAGAGAATGAGATAACGTGATACAAAATCTTATTTGTATTCCTAGAGAATAAACTTTTTTTTCAAAAATGAAATCTCAAGCCATATAGAAACGGGGTCATCTGAATCAATTCTAAGGTGTACAGGGACATATATAGTATCTCAGAAGGTAGACTCTAGGCTGATCTATGGAGCCAATGTCATTAAATGTAATTAAATTCTAGTCACAAAGTATGTTTTTGATCAAAATGGAATTATACATTAATAACAGAATGATCTCTGTGAAATTTCCAAATGTTGGCAACTAACACTTCTGAAAATTTCATGGATCAAAGAAGAGTGCAAAAGGGAATTTAGAAACTATTTTCAGCCCTGGCTGGTGTGGCTCAGTGGACTGAGCTCCAGCCTGCAAACCAAAGGGTCACCAGTTTGATTTCCAGTTGGGCACATGCCTGGGTTTCAGGCTAGGTCCCCAGTAGGGGGTGTGCCAGAAGCAGCCACACTATTTTGAACTGAATTAAAATATATAGCTCATAATATGTGAGGATGTTGCTGAAGCATCTGACATATTAATACCATGAGTGCTTCAATTAGAAAAAAAAGAAAGGTTTCTTGTTAATGTACTAGTTTTTACCATAAGAAACTAGAGAAAATTTCCTCAGAAAACTAAAAATGGAACTGCCTTTTGACCCAGCAATTCTACTGCTGGTATTATACTGTAATAACACTGAAACACCAATTCAAAAGAACCTATGCACCCCAATGTTCATAGCAGCACAATTTAAAATAGCCAAGTGCTGGAAACACTTAAAGTGCCCATGGTACATTTACATGATGGAATATTACGCAGCAGAAAGAAAGAAGAAGCTCCTACCCTTCTCAATAGCATGGATGGAACTGGAAAGCATTATGTTAAGTGAAATAAGCCAGGTGGTAAAATACAAATACCATGTGATCTCACTTATAATGGGAAATTAATAAACAAAACAAATAAGCAGGTAAAATATAACCAGACACAGTAAAACTAAGAACAAATTGACAGTAACCAGAGAGAAAGTGGGGGGCGGGTTATGGGGGGAAAAGGGAAAGGGTTTTCAAGAACATGTATAAAGGACACAGGGACAAAACCAAAGGGGGGTAGGGTCAAGGGAGGGAAGTGGGGATGGCTGGGGTGGGGAGCAGTGTTGGGGGAAAATGGAGACAACTGTACATGAATGGCAATTAAAAAAGGAACTAGAGAAAGATGAATTAACCCTCAGTGAAAATATAGTAAAGAACACAGCCAAAATTGATGAAATAGAAAATTGATGAATGGTGAATAAGTGCAGAAAAAATGCTGAAATCATTAGTCATTAAGAATATGCAAATTCAAACCACAAGAGATACCACTAAACACACAAGAATGGCTAAATTTAAGAGATTGATGGTAACACGTATTGAGCAAGATGTTGAGCAACTGGAAATCTCATGCACTGCTAGTGGGATAGCAAATTGCATAATCCTTTGGATAATAGTTTGGGAGACTCTTAGAAAGTTAAACAAATACTTATTATATGATCCATCTATTTCAACTTCTTAGTATTTTTTTTTAAATGTGTTAATATTCTCTATTTCTTGTGATTTTTTTTAAAGATTTTATTTATTTATTTTTAGGGAGGGAAGGGAGGGAGGGAGAGAGAGAGAGAGAGAGAGAGAGAGAGAGAGAGAGAGAGAGAGAGACATCAATGTACGGTTGCTGGGGGTTATGGACTGCAACCCAGGAATGTACCCTGGCTGGGAATCGAACCTGGGACACTTTGGTTCCCAGCCCGCGCTCAATCCACTGAGCTACGCCAGCCAGGGCTTCAACTTCTTAGTATTTATGTTAGAAAAAGGAGAGCCTATGTTCATTCAAAGTGTTGCACACATATATTCACAACAAGTAGCTTTTAAAAAATCATTTTTATTTTTCAATTACAGTTGACATACACTATTATATTAGTTTCAGCTGTGCACCCCAGTGAGTAGACTTATAGAACTTACTAAATGAATCTTGATAAATCTCGTACCCTTCTGACGTCATACATAGTTATTAGAATATTATTGACTATATTCCCTATGCTGCATTTTACATCCCCATGACTATTCTGTGACAATGAAATTGCACTTCTTAATCCTTCCACCATCTTCACCCATGCCTCCTAAACCCCCTCTCATCTGGTAACTCTCAAAGTGTTCTATGTACCTACAAGCCTATTTCTGTTTGGCTTTTTTTAAATTTTTTTAGATTCAATTGTTGATAGATATGTATTTATTGACATTTTATTGTTCATTTTCTAAATCAATTTTTAAAAGAAGACCTTTATTATTTCATGTAATACTGGTGTGGTGGTGATGAACTGCTGTAGCTTTTCTTTCTCTGGGAAGCTCCTTATTTCTTCTTTGATTTTAATGATAGCTGTGCTAGGTAGAGTAATCTTGGTTGTAGGTCATTGTTTTCATCACTTTGAATATTTTTTGCCAATCCCTTTTGGCCTGCAAAGTTGCTTTTGAGAAATCTTCTGACAGTTTTATGGGAGCTTTCCTGTAGGTAATTAACTGCTTTTTTTTACTTGCTGCTTTTAAGATTTTTCTCTTTAACAATTGGCAATTTAATTATGATATAATTATGATGTGTCATGGTGAGAGCCTCTTTGGGTTTATCTTGTTTGGGACTCTCTGTGCTTCCTGAACTTGTATGTCTGTTTCCTTCACCAGTTTAAAGGAAGTTTTCTGCCATTATTTTTTCAAATAGGTTTTCAGTTTTTGCTCTCTCTCTCTCTCTTTTTTTTCCAGAAGAACCATGATGCAAATATTGGTATACTTGAAGTTGCCCAAGAGGCTCCTTACACTATCTTCATTGTTTTTGATTATTTTTTATTTTTGCTGTTCTGATTGTTTTTTTCCTTCCTTACATTCCAAATCACTGATTTGATTCTCAGGTTCATCTAAACTACTATTGATTTCTTTGTAACTTAACCTTCATTTCAGTTAGTGTATCCTTTATTTCTGGTTCTTTTTTTATGGTTTCTACGCATTTTTTCATTCTCCTGAAAATTACTTCAGTGTCCTTATAACCATTGTTTTGAACCTTGTACCTGGTAGTTTGCTTGCCTCAAGTCCATTTAGTTTCCTTTTTGAGGATTTTTCTCCCATTCTTTTTGGTGACCTGTTCTCCTGTCTCTGCATTTTGGCTGTTTCCTATATGTTTGTTTCTCTGTATTAAGTTATAGCTGCTATGTGTCCTTTACTTGGTAGAGTGACACTGTGTAGTAGTCTTCCCATAGAGCTTAGAGGTGCAGCCTCCCCAGTCACCCAGCATGGGTGCTCCAAGTGCACCCATTCATGGGCTGTGTGCACTGTGTTTTTGTAGTTCAGACTTGATTGCTACGGGCATCAGTGGAAGGGATCAAACTCCAGGCCTATCAGCTAAGAGGATGGGCTGTGACTACAGCAGAGGAATTGTTGTGCTGGAGTCAATCCTACAGAGCAGGACTTGCTTCAGAGGTGCTTATATGCTCATCAAGTTTGCCCTTGAGTGTGTGGCTTTGGTAGTAGTATGAATGTAATGCCATGAGACCAACTGTCCATGTGTGCACTGGCTTTGGGGTCCCCCAGAAGGTGCAAGGTCAGCTACCACCTGTGCCCTGCCTGGAGCCATCTGCATGAGCTACAGAGGGATCTGCAAATGGCTGATATATGTGCTGGGCTTGAAGGGAATCAGGGAAGTCCATACTTTGTACCAAAGCCAGCTGCTACTAGTACCAGCATTAGAGACACTTGGCAAGAGTTATGGGTTATGCTGAGGCCAGATGCTGCTTGTTTTAGAATTTTTGCAAAGTCCCTGAGGGATTTTAGAAAAGTCAGAAGCATGAGCCAAGACAGGCCAATCATATGGAAAAGCCACTGGAAACAGCTTTGGTGGGTGCGCAAGTTTGTTGGAGAGGAGTCTCAGGGAACCACTAGGGCAGGGCAAACATCATGAGCCAGGTTGATGAAGACTCAGATATGGCGCCTGACTACTGGCTCTGTCAGGAGAGGCCTCAGCATGGAAATGAAGGCCTCTGTCAGCACTTCTGTCTGGGAGAAAGCTGCCACCCCATGCCCTACTTATGTCAGGCAATTCAATTCTTCTCTCTATGTATCTGGTACTTTTCAAACTACTGACCTAGCTCTGGAATTCAGAGGGAGTGGGTCAGAATAAGTCTTTGCATGGGTCATTTAAGAGCAAAGCCTGGGAATCCAGCAGTCCTCTGTCTCACTCAGCTGTAAGCTCCGCTGGCTTTTACAGCTGGAAGTTTAGGGGACTTCTCTTTCTGTTACTGGAAACTTGGGCCAGAGTGTCCTGGTGTGGGTCTGGAACCCCTAGCTCCTCAGCTGTGATATCTCTCCTGATTTTTATCTGAAACTCATAGGTGTGGGATCAGCCCATTCCGTATTCTGCCCCTCTTACCAGTCTTGATGTACCTTCTTTAAATCCCTAATAGTATGACTTTCATTCAGACAGACTTCAGTGGTTCTGACTAATGGTTGTTCTATAGTTTAGTTGTAATTTTGATTTTGTTGTTGGAGCATATGAGTTCCACGTTTACTTACACTACTATCTTGACCAGAAGACCTCTGAAATGGCTTTATTTTTAATAATCCAAAACTGGGAACTACCCAAATATCCATCAATACATGAAAGAATAAACATACTGAACAATACCTATAAATGGGAAAGCTCTCAGGCATAAAAAGAAATAAGGTCTTTAAACATGCTATGAGGTGGCTAATCTAAAAATAATATACTACATTTAAAAAGACATAAAAACAGTACATACTGCAGAACTCCATTTATGTTTTTCTGTAATTACAAGCTAATCTATAGTGACAGAAAGCACATTATTGACTGGAGACAGAAAGAATTAGGTAGGAAGGACATGGAGGAATTATAAAGTGGAAAGAGAATGTTTTGCAACAGATAAATATGCTAATTATGCTGACAGTATTAATGTTTTTTTTATTAATCCATTAGTCAAAATTTATCACAATTGAACACTTCAAAAATGTGCACTTTATTGGATGCCAATTATATCTCAACAACTCTGGTAATAATGTCATAAAAGAATAAATGTGACACTTAATCTCTCTGCTTTAGACTCCTCATCAGTACCACAAGCATGGTATTAGACTAGTCTTGCACAGTTCTTAGCACATAGAAATCAATAATGGAACTCGATATTAGGGGTACATGCTCCTCTGCTCCACATGGTACTGAATCTAGTCCCTCAGAGTTTTTGGTTGACTCTATTATCATATGGGAATGTCCTGGCACTGTGTGAAGGAAAATGTGATAGTTATGTGATCATAGGAATAGCTTAGAGACAAATTCACAAGGAGACACCTCTTGGTAGAGACTTACTGACTGGGAGAGAAAATGGAGCCATCTTCCCACTGCCAGGATCCATTTGCTGGATTTTGTACGAGTCCCATCCAATGGTAGGACTTCACCAGTTTGAGGAAATCCTGTTTGAAATCACAAACAAAGTCAGTTCTCAGAATTTTACTACAGACAAAACCATAATCATTTCATCATTTTCCCAAAACTTTGCAAAATGCATTCTGTCCTCTGGCATAATTCTAACTTAAACAACACACATGTAATTCCTACAGTTTTTGTCTTTTCTTATTTTTACTGCTTTGTTATTTTTTAATGCAGAAGAATTTTGGGTGGATATGTCTTAGCCTGGTGTCTCTAAGTGATATTTCAGGTTCATATTCCAGAGAATTTCCAAATATGTTAGGACTAAACATAGGAAGATGAATTAAAACAATACTTAACCTGCTCTTCTTTGCTATATATCTTCAGGAGACTGGAATTGTGAGACATACAAGAAGCTTGGCTCTGAAGCCAGTTTTTTCTCTCACTAAAAAATTGGTAGCAGTTGTTTCTATGACATACCCAGTTTTGAGGACACGGGCCACAGTAAGTTTCTAGAAAGGAACAATATATTATTAATTCTCCATATGTCTGATATTATACTGTGTGAATATTATAGTAGATTTTTTCTAGACAGGCTAAATATCTTTTTTTAAAAGCTTTTATTTATTTATTTTTAGAGAGAGAGGAAAGGAAAGAGAAAGAGAGGGAGAGAAACATCAACATGTGGTTGCCTCTTGCACACCCCCTACTGGCCCGAAACCCAGGCAATGTGCCCTCATGGGGAATCAAACTGGTGACCCTTTGGTTTGCAAGCTAGCACTCAATCCCTTGAGCCACACCAGCCAAGGATAAATACCTTTTTGTTTTAACTTAAAAATGCCAAATATTAAGCCATTGTGGTCATACCTAATGACCTAATTCTACATATTTATAATAGATAGATATGCCAAAACTACGTTCTCTACTTTTTACAAGTCTCCCTTACTGTAAAGAATAAAATAAAATTTAAAAACTTATGGTGAATTGTGGACATGAATTATTTTCCTATATGTTTTATTTTTAAATTAAATTTATTAGAGTGACATTGGTTAATAAGATTATATAAATTTCAAATGTACATTCCTATGATACATGATTTGTCTTATACACTTTTTTGGTATCAGCATTGATACCTGCTTAACTCCATATCTACAGACCCATGCAATTTGTGCTTCGAGGAAGAGAGAGTGGAGACTGGAAGAGATTAACCAAAGTACATATATGCATATACGCATAGCCCATAGACACAGTGCAGCTTGGGGGAGGGCTGATGGAGGGGAGTCAAAGCAGGGGAATATTTGTAATAGTTTTAACATTTAAAAAATGCAATAATAATGTCAGAAAACTTACCATTCAAAAAAACCGGAGCTGCTTGATTGAATAATGCTATTAAAATAATCATAATCGTTAGAAGGTTTTGTGTTGCTGTAACATAGTCCAAGCAAAAATAAAAATAGTTGACAATTTTCTAGACTAATTGCTAAAGTGTAAAGAAGCTTTTGTCTTAAAAAAAGATTTTATTTATTTATTTTTAGAAAGGAAGGAAGGGAGGGAGAAAGGGAGGGAGAGAAACATCAAGGTGTGGTTGCCTCTCATGCATCCCCTACTGGGAACCTGTCCTGCAACCCAGGCATGTGCCCTGACTGGGAATCCAACTGGTGACCCTTTGGTTCACAGGCCAGCACTCAATCCACTGATGACACCAGCCAAGGCTAAAGTATAAAGAAACTTTTGATATTGCTAGTTTATGTTTCTGTGCATCTGAATGTTAATCAAAGTAATACATTGCAATTGTTAGATCAACAGTGTGATCCACTCCATTGTCACTTACAGTTTACAATTATGGCGCTGCATATCATCACCATCACAATGAAACGGATCCCCATAGCTAGAGCAATGGACCGGGCAACAACAAATGGAGATGCTGTCAAAGAAAAAAGAGTGAGAGAAATGAGAGAAAGATGAAAGCATTCTGGAATTCTTATGTTTAATACAAATGTTAGAGCAATTTTTATGTGGGGGTGATAACAGTGCTTTTCCTCAATTATTTTTCTCAGAACAGGTAAAATAAGTTCTTTGCAAATGATGTTAAATAAGACTATAAAAATGTAATGTTACTTCTTAATCCCTTCTACAAGTTCCCCAGTTCACCCCTAGAATAAATCATAATTACCATTTTTTTAAATTTCCATGCAGATAAAATAATAAACACAAACAGTTCCTCTTAACCCTGTCTTAAAAATAAATTGAACACTATATAAAATATTCTGTAATATTTTTTACTTAAGAAAATATTCTAGTGATTTTTCTCTTAATGTCTTGTAAAGTTGTCAAACTTTTATAACTAGCTGCTTGAGTTGTATTTCAACGCTGTATGGACAAAATCTCATTATTAACAGATTTTTATTTTTTTCCCAATGTATATTTAAATTGTTTCTTAGTTTTTGCTATTAATGTAATAATATAAATAACATCTTATACACACATGTTCATATTTTTTAGTACCTTTCTAGGAGAAATTCTCAAAAAGGCAAATAGTGAGTTGAAGAGTGTTTGCTTTTAAAATTTTTGCAATTGAAATTTTTAGTGCAAAGAGGCTATACCAACTTACATATTTCCAAATATAAACTCAAAAGGCTTCTTGCTTACACTTTTCTCATCATTAAATACATTCACTTTTTAAATGTATAAATCCGATAACCGATGTTATTTTTTAAATTGTAAATTTTTTATAAATAAATAACAGAAGATTAAACATCTTTTGTTATGGTTGTCATGTTTTTATTTATTTCTTTGAGACTTCTCTTATTTTTATTAAGTAACTGGTTTTATTCTCACTTTTTTGGTTGAGAATGTTAGTATTCTTGCCCTATGTTTTGCAAAACTCATCTCAGACATCATTTTTCTTTTAACGTTATGATACTTTGAGGGTTCTGCAATGGATAATGGTTGACTTGCTCAAATCATTATGCTTTTTTGATATGCATAAACTGCTTTCACTATTCTGAGTTTATAAAATAAAGTATACCAGTGTTCCATCATAACTTACACAGTTGCCTTTCTTATTTTGGTCTGCTTGGTATTTGTGTGTGACTGTATGTTTATGTGTGTGTAATAAATGAGGTAGGAACTCAAATTCATAAAATTTTTGTATTTTCCAAATTGTCACTGATTTTCCTAACATGATATGCCAAATAAATCATTGTTCTCATTTGTATGAAATACTACCTTTAGCATATAGTATATTCTTATGTGTGTTTGCATTTATTCTTATATTCATCAGTTTTCCTATTCAAACTATATGTAAAATATCTTTACTTTTATAACATGCTTATGTACTTACCGTGCCCATGATAGTTCTTTTTCTGTTATTTACATCTTATGTTCATTAGTACAACTTTAAAGTAATACATTTATTTCCAGTATTCTTAATTAAAAAGTTTATTTCTGATTTTTAGTCTTATAAATATGGCATTTTCCTTTCATCACATTTTTCTTGTCTTTCTGGTTTTTTAGACAGTTGATTTTTACATCTTATTTTCAATCAGGTCCACACAGCAGATTTCCATATTATTTTTTAGTTTATGGGGTGAGGCTTTTAGGGTTTAAAATATTTTAAGTCATATATTTTTGCTAGTCACATTAGTTTCACCATTTTACTCTCGTTTCCGATCATTTCTTTCCCCTTGGTTTTGCACATTGGCTAGTACCAATAAAACAGCCAATATTAATTAATAATAATGAGAAGAAAGATTCTGGCCTTTTCTTTTTAACTACAATGAATGTAGTGTAAGCACTTATCAAGAAGCACAACGACAGCTTTGGAACATATATTTTAAAGTCAGTTTTTATATTTTACAGGCTTTGAAAATTAAGTTCTTTTAAATTAAGAATTCTTATTGATTTTTTATCCAAAACCTTGTCAGCGAATCCTCTTCACTGCACAGTAGCCTTTCTGTGAATCACAGTCCAGTCACTGCTGCTGTGCTGTTTAAAGACATGCCACTGACGGTGTTGTGTATTTCTCTTCTCTTCTGTTTATTCGCCCCTCCTGACAGCTTGCTGTTCAGTGAGCCCTTAGAAACGGCAGTCTCGGTTGTCGTTGCTATGATAATCTTACCTCCTTTAGGGCATGAAAAGCTCATCAATTCAACAATTTCTTCTCACTTTGCACATATTCCAGGGACATCAAACTTAATCTCACTTCTGCTTCTCTCATGTCGGCAAAATTAAACTGAATGTTTATCCCTGATGATCTCAGAGTTTCCGATTTCACCTGAAGATGGCGAATGGAATGTAGTACTTACGGTTTCCCCCAGATGTGTTTGTGATCAATGTGGATCTTTTCTTTTGTCCTGGTACAGAAGTAGAACGATTTCCAAGTTTAAGTTTGTAATTGTGTGATTCACTCATCTCTGGAGAAACACAAATCAAGCCAACATGAGTCATGACTTTTTTGCTTCTGTGATTTTCAACTTTAAGCTTTAACTTGCCATTTCTACCCTTTTTCTTTTAAATTATATCACCGAGTTAATTTTGTTTTATGTTATTTCATTACTATACTTTTTATACTTTGTAGTATAAATAAAATTATATTTATTCTGTAGCAAAATATCTTAGCAAAATCTTATTTTTGCTAAGTTAATTCTAACCACATAATTAAAACTAACAATAAAATAAAGACATTGTATAGTGAAAAGATAAAGCCTTAAGGAATTAGATGTGTTTAAGTTACAGAGCCACATTTACTAACTTAATAACTGCAGAAATTTCACACACAAAAAAGAAAAAAAGTCAGAAAAATGAACAAAAGATATCAATTCTATGTGGTATGGTTATTCTTAAAAGTGAAATAAAATAATATGCACTTAGTATCAACAACATCAGTCATATAGTAAACACTTAGTAAGGGCTAGTGTGTCTGATTTTCTTCATAGTTAACGACACACAAAGAATAAAATAGCACAGTCTATAACTTAAAGAAAAAGAGAAAAAATCTTCTAAACAAAACAAGTAAAAAATCATTTGGCTTTCTCTGTGAAACTGTAAAAATATTAAATATGTAAAAGCCTCTTATAACTGAAGTACTAATGGTAATTACCTGTTATACCTAAAATTAAACATTGTATATACAATATATAATTTAATTATTAAATATATGAAGAGGGTAGATATTAGGTTATGAATGAAGAAATTGAATTTTAGAAGTGACTAATAAAGTATTCCTTATTTAAAATAATGCTGCCACTAAGTTATTTATAATATCTTAGTTAAGAAACTCTTTCACATATATGTGATTTTATATGAATATCATAGAAATCCACTAAGATAAATGTCACCTGTTTTATATCTCTAGTTCACATAAACATAAAAAGTTAGGTACAGAAATGCTGTGGGTTACTTCTGATCTCAAAACTAGAGACTGATAAAAGTTTGATTTAAATTCAGTTCTTCTAGCTACAAATTCTGATGCTGTCACTGCCTCAGTCTGCCTCAAACTGGGAGAGTTTACTTTAGGTAGTTAAGAAAGTAAAAGAAGGATAAACTTTCAAGTTTTTAAAGACTTGATTTAAATATAACATTAGCATAATGTGATATGTTTATAAAATGAACATAAGTCAATCAAATTAAATCACTTTTTTATATTCGTATCAAATTCTGAGTATATTGAAATTATACATAGGCCAAACTAGACATTTATGTGGAAAGTACTTACCCATGTTGTGATGAGCCCACCGATCTCGGACCAACCCCATCATATAATTATGACTTTTCATGTATCACAGAAATGAATCTGAAGTCTTCAATTTATAAAGGTTCCTGATTAAAATAAAATCACTCATTTTTTCCTTTTCTTTTTTTTGCGGTGAAATGATATACTTTGATTGGAAAATGAGAATACAAAAAAATTTCCTCCAGGAATATATTTTAAAAGGAATGAATGAAAAGCATAATTTATATAAATTCAGATAAATTAATTTCTTAAATTTGACTTGGTTAGAAAACTAAATAAGTATAATGAGTTTTTAAATTTGCCTACATCAGGATACTTAATGGAAAACAGTTTTTCATCACTGATATTGAGTGAAAACACACAGTCTTCTATTTATAGTTGTTTATTTAATTTAGTGATAATTAGTTTCAGCATATCCTTAGCAAAAATAATCTTCTATTTGTGTAGTAACATCATACAATGTGTAGCAGAGCTCTCAGAAAAATAGCTATTTAATAAATATGCATAGTGCTTAGGTTTTAAAATAAAATCTGTTTCAAATTTAAACATGATAGTTGAAAGCAACAGATATAATTTGTTTTATTATGGTAATAAAGTTGTGTATTACACAAAGTAAGTGCCTTGCATAAAAGCACAAAATTCATAAAAGTGAGAATTCAAATTGAAATTCAATTTTTTATTCCCAAATGTAAAGATTCATTCTTGTAGTTTTGTTTAGAGACAAGACTTCATTTTATAGCAACATCATAACTTCTGATTCTTTAATAAGTTTATCCTAATCATTTTTCATTGGATAAAGTCAGAAAGAGTACACTTCAGAAGTAATAAGCATCCCTTGCTTTCAGTAATTCTATTCACACACTCAAGAAACAATTAGAATTACCTTGTTGTGTAAATAGTTTTAGAAACTTTCTTGAGGTCAAACCTCAAGGATTCTTCATTTCTTGAATAATAGTTTTTAGAAACACATAAACACAGAGAGACACACCTGATCAGAGAAGTAATGTCCTGTTTCGTGTGAAAAATTTAGGCATGTCTTGAGCTTGCAATTTAAAACTGAGACAAGAAACATCCAATCAATTTCAACCTCTGAGAAAAATATGAGAAATGTTATTCTAATCTCATTTTCCTTTTGAAAGAAACAGCATAAGCCACAGTACTTCCTTCTGCCTTTTAACTACACCGAACATTTTGCTAAGTGGCAAAATAAACGTTAGGTCCTAACATCATCTTATGACTTAAAAATGATGAATTCAGTGTTAAAGTGTGGACCAGAGTTTCAAGAAATAAATAGTGAAATATATAATCTCTTTCTAAATCAAAAGTAAAAACGTTTAGCAAAACCCCATCCCCATATTCTTATTGACTGACATTGAGCCCCTGCCTGGTGATTGGTGGTTGTCTTTGTCATTTACTAGGTGGGTGCTAATAGTATTAAGACCTGGAGACATTTAATACTCTTATTATATAAAAGTTCTTCTATGTGCTCTTCAGGAGCATCCTGGGAAAAGAACCTGTAGGACAATGGTTTTGAATGGCACTATACAGGTCAGTATAACACTTCAAAGGGATTGTTTCTTAGAGAGGTGTTGTCAGAACAACATGATTAGCAATAAATGAGTAACAAAACAAAAAATTGTTGTAAGTACTGTGTGAAAAATGAGGAGAAAAATCAAATAAACTTTTAAATCATCCTGTGCACCTGCTACTATAAGGTTGAGTGGCATCAAGTAAGGTGTATCATGTAGGTTGAAACATAGAGAAATATTTTATGTTTATGAAAATGCATATATATGCACACATATACAATCTTTTAATTACAAAAAATAAAGTACTAAATAAAAATTGCATGATAAGCCATGATATGCTCAGCTTAAAAAATGATAAAATTATGGCCAATATTATTTCATGTTTTAGATATGTGGGTGTCTCAGATCAATCTATAATCTCAAATAGGATCCTTTTTTCCTTTTTTCTTGTGGATACCAATTAATATATTACTCCCCCTTTATTATCAAAACCATACCACCAAATTTTGTCAGAAGAACAACATAATCAACCAATGTCTTAATGTTCTGATTTCTAGCTACTCACAATTTTTGTTATATTAAAAAATGACAAAGTATCTGTTACAGCCAAAGGAGCCTTAAGGTATATAAGGGATAAATGTAACAGATAGGATAATGGACAGAAATTGGGCATTAGGTAAAAATTAAGAAGGTCTGAACATAATGCATTCTTTATTTAACAACAGTGTATCAATATCAGTTCACTCTCTGACAAATGTGCCACTTACAAAACTGTTGTTACATAACTGTTAGCAATAAGGGGAGCTGCACATACGGGGTGTGGGAACTCTCTGTGCCACCTTTCCAATTTGTTGTAATTAAGAAATTATTCAGAAGTAGTTTATTTATAAAATAAGTGGTTGGAGCTTCTTTTGTATGTTACTGTAAAAATAATGAAATAAATACACATAAGTTACTTTGAAGAATAAAACAAAGAAAACTCTAGAGCAGCAGTGTCCTACCATGGCCACACATGCAGCCCAGGATGGCTATGGATGTGGCTCAAAACAAAATCATAAATTTACTTAAAACCTTTTTTGGCTCATCTGTTTTTGCTAGTGTCTGTGTATTTAATATGTTGCCCATGACAACTCTTCTTCCTCTACACGGCCCTGAGATGCTAAAAGGTTGAACACCCCTGCTAGAAGGAAACAGCTGAAAAAGCAGTCACTCACACTAACTCTCACTAAAAATGTGCACATGAAAACAAAACTTAAATCAGTAAATCCACACTTCATTTAATCAATGAGATATTTTAGGCTATAATCTTCAGCCAATAAAACAGGCACTATATTTACTACGTATGATATGAGTGAGATAAAATTTACACAGGCACAAGTTGCTTTGGCAAAGTTTGATAAAGCTAGAACAATTTTTATGAGATCATTAAGTTATTCAAATTTTTTTCATGTGAATAACATGAAAGCCAAATCATAGTCACAGGAGATATATAATGAATTTTCAAAAAAGAGATCATTATAACTAGTATAAACTCTTCTAAACAGTGAGGGGGGAAACAGAATAGTTCCTATTTCTTTCACTAAACCTAGAATTACCTTGATACCCATTTTATTTAAAATTTTTTGAGTATATAAAATTTTAGCTTTATTCATAATGAAAAAATAATGTAATAGACTGGGGGAAAGCTTGTATCAAGTTTATCTAAGGGCTAATAACTGTGATACTTGCAGAGTTCTCTCAGACTTAATGAGGAAAAATATCAAGATTTAGCACATATATCGACAGAGAATTTAAGTAGACGAGTAATAAATAGCATTAGTGTTATTGGTGGAAGGTCAGTTGGAGCCAGCTGAGTTTGCCCCGTCAGCTAAGATTGCGACCGGGTAAGTTCTTACACTGAGAGCCTTCGAAGCCAGCAAGATAACTGGATAGAAGAAAAAGCCCCATCTGGCCTTGGTTCCCAGACTGTGGGTGAGAACTGGGGGAAGCAGGCACATGTGCCATAGAAGTCAAATGGTGGCGGGGGGGGCGGGTGATGGACCAAAGAGGTTTGTCAGTCTCGCCTGAAGAATAAAGAATTGAAGGAGAGGCAGACCCACCAGCAACATGCAAAAGTTTGGGAAGTTTATTGGTCATTTTGAAAAAGCACAGGGCCCATCACACATACAAGCTAATATAATCCCAGGCGAACAAAGAAACACCCTCTTTCCCTTCCTCATGACCTGGACTCACGTGGTGCAGGCTGCTCTCTCATGTGGCCCATGGCCTCTGGGCAGGAATCTCTCTCTCTCTCTGTGGTTGACCTTGTGCTGCCTTCACCCATGCATGCACATGCCCTTTACTGGGAGCACCCAGCCGCTGCATGGTCCACGCCCACGGCCGTGCAGGCGCCACAGGAAGCTCTAGGAAGGAGCCGGAAATGAACTGCAGCGGGGAATAAGCTATGCTACATGGATGGGCCCTATGACTGCTGAGTAGTTGCCTTTAGTTTTCAAAACACTCTGCTCTAAATTGGAGCAGGAACTTTAAATACTGCCTTTTTCTTGGATTTGTGTAGGAGATGACCTTTGAGACTGGGAGTCATTCATTTTCCCAGATCACATAGCACCTGAATAAAACCTCTTTCCTTTTTCACCAGCATCTGCCTCACAGTTTTTTTTTTTCATTTTATTTTTGTTCAAGTACAGTTTTCTGCCTTTTCCCCCTCTCTGATCTATATAAACATCATTCTTTTTCTTCGAGTAGATTTTACTTTATTTTAAAATTAAAGTTACTGGAGTGATATTAGTTAATGAGATTATATAGTTTTCAAGTGTACAGTTCTATGATACGTGATCAGTATATTGCACTTTGTGCCCATCTCTCGAAGTCAAATAAACTTCCATCACCATATATTTGACCCCCTTCATACTTTGTTACCCCTGCCCCTCATTCCCTCTGGTAATCACCATACTATTTTCCAGGCCTATGAGTTTCAGTTTTATGTCCCACATATAAGTGAAATTATATGTTTATTAGCCTTTTCTGTCTGACTTATTTGCTTTGCATAATATTTTAAGGTCCATTCATGTTGTCCCAAATGGTTGTATTGAATCTTTCCTTATGACTGAGTAGTATTCTATTATATATATGTACAACATCTTCTTTACCTAGTCATCCATTGAAGGGAACTTTGGTTGTTACCTTGTTTTGTGAGCCATGATAAATGCTGGAAATGGCAACATCATTCTTAACTTCAAGATATTAATGGTATTTTAGAAAATCCTGAAGGCAAAGTGATCACTAATACTACTTCTCTTCAACATCATTGTGGAGATTCTTTAGCACATTTAAGACGACCACAAGAAATTAAAGGCATAGGAACTTAAATTCTTTTGCTGATGATATGTTCCTCTACATAAATAATAAAAAACAATTTAATGGTTATTTAATAGAAATAATATCAGTGTAATTAATGTAGTATTAATTTTCAAGCACTATTATATTGAAGGTCAATAATAAATAGAAACAAATTTTATATTATTAACAACTACAATAGAAACACTGTAAAGTAATGATGAGCAACAGATGTAATTTATTCTATTTTGTAAATGAAGTTGTGGATCACATAAGGTAAGTGCCTTGCATAAGAGCACAAAACTCATAAGGGTGAACATTTTACTTGAGTTTCTGTTTTTAATTTCCACATGTAAAGATCATTCTTCTAACTTAGTTAACATCTATGTGGAACTCATTATGTAATTTTATAAAAGTATTTTAAAAATAATTAAATTTTGATAGGACTACTGATGCTAATAACAGTTCAATGATCCTAAAATATTTTAGGGAGACAAATCAATTCCAAATAATAGAGCAAGCTTTGTTGTGAACCTTACAAAGCATAACCCTAAACGTTCATTAAACTGCAAGGAGCCAAGAGTAGACTATGACTACTGAAGAAAAAGAAAAGGTGGAGGCCTTGTCCAGCTAGGCATTAAGAACTTGCTAAAACTTTGTTAATTAAGACCAAGTGATATGAGAATACACAGAAATTAACAAATTGAAAAAGAGAAAATATACAGACATGAGAAAGTCACATGCATGCATGAAAATAATGTATGAGGTAGCATTGCAGATAAAGTAGAAAATAAGACACTATTAAATACTTAGAGCTGGGAAATTTTTTGTACCAACATAAAAAATAAAAACAGACCTATACATACACACATCATATGCAGAAATATTAGAAACCCCAATACACACCCTTGGTGTGCATAAAAACTAAGTAAATAAATGAGAGTCAATACCACTTAAAAAAACTGGTTTAGTAGACATATTATTGATATCCATTTACTCAAACATTGAGTAAATATTCATTTACTCAAACATTTACTCAAAAGATAATAAAATGCTATACAATCTAAGGAAAAGTAAAGGTAAACTCAAAATTTTAATATATACTAAGAAAGGAAATAAAGACAATTTTGTGTGGTAGTTTCTTTCAACTTGGATGATACACAAGTTTATTGTTAATATTTATTGTTTATAAATATTTTTAGTGACTACCAATTGCTAGGTACTTTTCTAGGCCTTGAGAATGTCAAAGTAAACAATTCAGACAAAAGATCATTCATTGACACATATGTAGACATACATATATGCCTTTATGTTTGTGTGCATATATATGTATGTTCATATACAGGAAAATCTCTCTGTATATTTTTAATTTACATGATACACAGCATACTTGATTTCATCAAATTTATAATAGCATGTGCACAGGGTGATTTAGAAATTTAATTTTCTTGTTTTTTTACACAGTACTTACAACCAACCATATATATACTTAAAACCAACCAAAAGTTTAACATTTATATAAAACTTTTGATTCAGAAAGAGATTATGTTATTTTAACACTTATTTCTCAAAACCCTAGGATGATTTTCATCATTGAATTAATCATTTTAAAGCCATGAGATGATATTAGGACTTAACATTTATTTCATTAATTAGCAAAAAGTTCTGTATACTGAAAGGACAGAAGGAAGTCCTGCAATTCGTGCTGTTTTTTTTTTCCAGAGGAAAATGAGATTAGATTAATGTTTCTTATATTTATATTGGGGGTCAAAATTGATTGAACATTTTTCATTTCAGTTTTAAATTGGGAACTCAAGACATGCCTAAATTTTTTACAAGAAGTAGGATATTCCCTTTCTGATCAGAAGTATGTCTCTCTGTGTATTTGTGTTTCTAACAATTATTATTCAAGAAATGAGGAATTCTTGAAGTTTGAACCTCAAGAAAGTTTCTGAAAATATTACACAACAAGATAAATTTCATTTTTCTTGAGTGGTTGAATAGAATATGTGAAAGCAAGGATGCTTATTATGAAGTGCACTCTTTCTTACTTTATTCAGTTATGGATAAAATAAATGTATCAAAATCAAAGGTTAGTTATATTTTATTGAGGCATAATTGACATATAACATCATATTAGTTTGAGCTTTACAAAAAGTGAATCTATATTTGTATGTATTGGAAATGATCATCACAATAATTATAATTAATACCCAGCTTTAAGGATTTTGAGGGAGGCATATTTTGAGTCCAGGATGTTGAGTTAAAAAAATTAAAAAGGAGGGGCAGAATTCAAAATAAATGTTACTTGTATAAATAAATACTTGTATAAAGAAATTTAATTTCATTCTCATTGGGGAGCATATACTCACTCTGCATCTGTCATAATGTAATACTGATTGAGGATTTGCTGAACATTAGTGATGCTTCAGTGATATTTGAAATTGCAAAAAATGACATGACATTCCTCTCTGAAAACATATTTTCTAATAAAGACAATAAAACCAACAACATTAATTTATGTGGAAAAAATAATGTGACTACAAAAATACACATATGAGCCTCATGTGTAAGTATTTTCTGATCTCTTCTACCACTGGAGAAAGTTATGATGTTTTGCAAAGAGCCTGGGTCAAGACATTTGAGAACAACCACCAACACCTCAGTGAAATATTTAGAAATTATGTTTCTTAAGTGAGAATTCCACCAAGACCTAACCAACGGACCTTTTATAGCAAATAAGATAGGGGTTAACTTACATGGCTGAGCATGTGTTAAGTCCTTCCTGTGTACCTACCACAAGGGGAGAAGATGCGGAGACCACACTGCAACTTGTGGTGAAAAACAGTCTTGGCAGGATGCTTACTTCAAGTTGTGATACGAAACCATGTGGTTAGAAGTGTTTACCGGAGAGTTGTCTGGAAATAAAATCTTAAGATGGGTGGTTATGACAAAATTAAAGTGTTGTAGCCTAGACTATTCTGTAAATGTGTTTGAATTAATAAAAGATGTGTCAAAAGACAAATTCTAAAATTCATATGAGCAATGAAGTAAATCAAAAGCTCTGAAAGAGAGAGAGCTGAGTCTGGATATGTATGAGCAGACTGAAGCTGAAGTGACATAGTGAGCAATATAACAGTAAAAAAATCTGCACACATACTATAAGAAATATGTGTTTAGGACCTATTTAGTCAGAACCTAAAATATTGATTCAGAACATCCAGCTAAGTATGATGGACTGGGTGAGGCACATACAGTGCCAACTACAGTAGCGAAACAGGGTGAACACGTGGCCGAGATCCCGTTAACCTTGACTGTGTACCTTGTTGGGACAGGAGGAAGAGCAGGCCACCATCTTGGCTGCTAGCTAATATTGCCAGGCACAATTTCATGAGCTGGTAATGGAGAAATAATTTTTTGGCCCCATCTCAGATGATCTTTCGATAATTCTGAAAATAGCAGTTCCATTGAGGAGTCATTTCTTTCACAAAGAAATGTCTTCATTATATCAACACAGCCCATGCTGGAAGCCTGTATTTTTTTTTTGTTTTTAAATATCAATCTCTATCATGTAATGGAACAGAAAAGTTTTTCCCCTATGGTGTTTTCTTAGAATTTGTAAAGAATCAGTCATATAAATAGCACATTTTTTCAAAAGTGCTCTGAGGTAAATCACATGCATGACTTACTAATCAGATGACTTCAAATTTCCACTAGCGTCATGGTTATTTTTCTTTGTTTAATTTCTTGCACTTAACCTTCTCTTTCCTACCATAGGGGTAATGTACACATTCATGAAAGGAAATTGCCATTCATAATTTCTACATCTTGCATGCAAATGGATATTGTGTTTACTTCGATACTTTAAATATCAAAGAATCATAGAATGTTGTAGATGCCACAGAATTTAAACACTGCTTGTCCTGAGTGGCTATGGAGATAGACCCAGGTATCAGATAGCACTTTCCCAAAGGAAAA